CCCAAGCGAGCTCAATGGGCCGAATGGCCTCCTCTCGTTTGTATAGTTCTTATGTTCTTATGTAACCTTTAGGAGTGATGAGGTTTTAACAGTTAGCCTTTAGCTGTTACTTTCAGGAACTGTTAGCCTTTAGGAACAGTTACCTTTTAGCTGTTAGCCTAATACGATGACCAGCTCATCCATATCAGGATGACACTTGGAGACACTTGGCCAGACACTTTCAGCTAGGACAGGATTAGTAAACAACCATTTCAATTAAAATGACCTGGGGCACCACAGTGCTCACGGCTGTAGATGTGTCTCCCTGTGCCTCTCGCCCCCAGGCCATCTTCGTGTGGGGCACCAGTTGTCGTAACCCAACGTGAGCGAGTATGTAGCTATTTGATGATTGCGTGGTATGTGAGGTCAACTTGTGGGGGTGCCAGTCCTGTGCCTCATCGAAGGAGGACATGCCACTACCATGCCTTTACATCCCCGAGAGGGACAGGCTGTGACGGTGCGTTTGTAGGTGTCCGGTATGTCTGTGATCGTTCACATGCAGTCTGCACATGTAACGCACTGGGATCCGTGGAGGAGGAGGTGCCCCCCCTCCACAGCGGCCGTACCCGCGCAGCGATCGCTGATAGATGCTATAAGCCAAAAACATTTAAGAATACTTTATATATTTCTATATGAGACAAATGATCTTTATACTTCTACACAAATATAAGCAAGTAATTACAGAAAACATCTACAGAAATCAGTACACACATGAAATACAGATAACTGGAAATTATTGCTGAAGTGCTACTTTTTTCTCAGAACGACTACATTACAAGACGATATTTGTATTTCAACAAACAATACAGTGACAGTACTGAGATCATTCAGACTGAGCCCATTTTCAGCCTGACTCCAGTTGAGATGAACAAGCTCACGTCTGAAAGCAGCATCCAGCCTTAGAGGTGATGGTGTCGCTCAGAACCCCCTTCCACTCTGTCCCCCCACCCCCGTCTGCCCTGTGACAGGCTGGGAACCCCCGGCTCCCTACGGCCACGAGTAATCCCTGCGCGCTTCCAAACACACGACCCGCACACGCGACCCCGATGCTGCAGGTGGCGCCATGCCACAGACTGATGAAGCGAAGCAGACCTGCAGCAGTACTGTTGAAGACCTCTCAGTGGGTTCTCAGCAGGTGTGGCTTTCATTTTTTTCATGCTCCCATCCCACATTTTAAAACTGTTTTTTTTTTTTTTTTGGTTTTTTTGGCAATTTCTAAATGATGCAAATCCTGTAATATATTTACACATGTTGTCTTTGGGCAAAATGCTCCATGAGGGGAAGGTTCACAGAATCACAAGATGCAAGAAAGCAGCAGAGATAAAAGAGAGGAGGGGGGAAACGCCGTGCCATCGTCAACAAAACCTCACCTAGCAGCTGCTTTTGGGAGGCAAAGGGTTAAACACTGTTTACAGGGGAGAAAGGAATTATGGGAGGGAAAGGCCCAATCGGTGCAGAGACAATGACGTCATGCTCTAGGTGCAAAGCGCAGCGATAGAGGCAGGTTTGGGGATGCATTTGCTGTAGAAAGCAGACTCTGCCCTCCTCCTGACCCACCCCTGCCTCTCCCCCGTCCCCCTCTCATTTTCCGCGCCAGAATTCCAGCTTCACCTGGATGGCATATTTCTGCCATAACATCAGTCCGAAGCATTCCTGAACGCTCCCAGTGTAGGGATGCCATCCGAGTCAAGGACCCTGTCCGGCCAGACGCCACCATCACTCGCACCCAGGACTCTGAGCCTGTCACCTGCCCCGGGGACTCACACGTGTGTCTGAAGTGTCCATCATGATTCACGCTGCTCAGCTCAGCTCCTGACGCAGATGCACTCTCTGATATGAAACACATATAGAGAATGTACATTTCGTTTAGGAAACAGACCCTCAAGACAAACAGAAAGAAAACAAAGAATCCAATGGCATACACTGAGCAACACAGCAACAGTGCAGCCTGTGTATTTACACTCAGTTACTGTGTGTGTGTGTGTGTCTGTCTGTGAGGGAGGTCTCCTGCATCCCAACAGTGCAGCCTGTGTATTTACACTCAGTTACTGTGTGTGTGTGTGTGTGTCTCTCTGTGAGAGAGGCCTCTTGCATCCCAACAGTGCAGCCTGTGTATTTACACTCAGTTACTGTGTGTGTGTGTGTCTGTCCGTCTGTCTCTCTGTGAGAGAGGTCTCCTGCATCCCAACAGTGCAGCCTGTGTATTTACACTCAGTTACTGTGTGTGTGTCCATGTGCATGTCTCTGTCTGTCTGTCTGTCTGTCTGTCTGTCTGTCTGTCTGTCTGTCAGAGAGGTCTCCTGCATCCCAACAAGTCAGCTAAAATGTTACTAAGCGAGGCAAAAAAACATCAGTATGAAACATCTTCCAGTGAAACAGCAGTAATAACAACAATAATAATAATACAAAAACAATTCATTCTGAAAAATAAAAAGCAAGCAGGAGCTGCAACGCTTGAAATGATACAGATGCGGCATTCTCAGTAGGGGCATCGCTGCCCCCTGGTGGTCCATACAGGGGTGTGCTGCCCCCTGGTGGTCCATACAGGGGTGTGCTGCCNGCTGCCCCCTGGTGGTCCATACAGGGGTGTGCTGCCCCCTGGTGGTCCATACAGGGGTGTGCTGCCACCACCTGCACAGGCCACAGCAGCCTGTCAGCCCGCTAGCCCAGCACCGTCAGCTGTGTCTCCTCTGTTTTACGTGATTTTAAAAGTTCTTTTTGAAATCTGAAATAGTGGCCATCTTTTTCAGGACGAGAGAGGACGGGGTTGGAGGCTGTTGCCATGGCGGCTGGGGGACTTAGTTGAGGACCGTGGAGGGCCCGTCAGGACGACGGGTCTGGACGATCTTCTGCTTGGGGCGGGTCACTTCCTCGTCCTCTGTCTCACTCTCACAGACGTGTACCACCACACTGGGCGTCGACTCCGTACCCGCACACAGCTCGTATTTCTCACCTGCACCACAGGGCAGAGACGGGGCAGCGGGTGACCTTACAGGGTTAGCAAAGAATGACTTTAAATGGAACATTTCCCTTTATGGTTCTGTCACTCCATCGGCCTGAACAATGGAGTCAAATTTAGGCCATTAAAAGAGCTAATTTTCCAAGATGTCCACATACTTTTCCCAATAGATTACACGTTGAAATTTTGAAATTGCTCATTATTTTTGTCATTGAAATTTCACCATTGCATCATACTAAACTAGTTACAAATAGATAATATATTTGATACAAATTATAAAAAGACCTTTTGCTCTTGCTCAAGGGCTAGTAACAGGCAAGCACACAAGACTGTATCACAGTTGCCAAGGAGATAAGACTAGCCAAGGAAACGTGATAAGAAGCTTCTTACACTGCTGTCTGGCAGCAGCCGAAGTGAAAGACAAGAACTACATACTGCCTATCACAAGCTACCAGCAGAGGGCAGACTGAAACCACCTGCCCTATCACAAGCTACCAGCAGAGGGCAGACTGAAACCACCTGCCCTTTCACAAGCTACCAGCAGAGGGCAGACTGAAACCACCTGCCCTTTCACAAGCTACAAGCAGAGGGCAGACTGAAACCACCTGCTCTATCACAAACTACCAGCAGAGGGCAGACTGAAACCACGTGCTCTATCACAAACTACCAGCAGAGGGCAGACTGAAACCACCTGCCCTATCACAAACTACCAGCAGAGGGCAGACTGAAACCACCTGCCCTTTCACAAGCTACCAGCAGAGGACAGACTAAAGCCATAGTTTGGAAAATCAATTCTGGTATGGAGCTGATGTTAGGTGTTACCTGAAGGTACCAACCCACATAAATGGGCCCAGGAAATAATTTTTATGGCACCTATCTAACTTAACCTTGCAATGCTGATATTTTTCTGAGTACAGAATTTCATCTTCCACCGATAAAGAAACAAAAATTGTGATTTTGTTTTATAGTAATGCTGGTGCACCATTAATACCCATTAATAGGATCTGTAACAGCAACAGGAAGTTTAAATGTGCTAGTGCTTTTTTTGAGTCTGAGTCTTCTGTCTACTTCACGGTGAGGGCACATGACAACCATGCCACTGTTGTGCCACACTGACAGTTAACAACGAGGCGGGAGCCCCACGGAACCCGGGGCCCCAAGAGGCTGCCTGACCTGGGCCCAGCTTGGCCACAGCGCACAGCAGGTCATAGTTGATGACGGGCGTGGCGTCCTCACTCTGGCTCCATCCAACGGGCGGAGATGCGGGGGGCGAGATGAGGAACTGCTTCACAGGCTGGGGAGGAGCCAAATAGGCTTTGTCAATGTCCTCGCCCGAGTTCTGCACCTGGGGGGGGGGGGGCAGCGACACCAGCAGTGTCTTTACTGGATGCCTGTACACACAGCACTGACATCATGACATCACACACGATAAGACACACATGCAGAAATGCCCAGCCTGCCCTCTACAGGCCGCGACTGTGCATTACTCTGGCTCAGACTAGCTCACGGTGCCGTACCTGGGCAAAGTACAGCTTCAGCTTCTTGCCATTGAACTCAGACTCGTGGAGCTCCATGCGTGCGCGGGCTGCTGCCTCCGGGCCGCTGAAGCTGATGCGGACCCGGCAGAAGCTCTGGAACATCTGGAAGGATATCTGCTCGTCGTACATCCTGAAGAGTGCCTCGAACCGCTCCTGAAAAGTCAGCAGGGGGGCGCTACTAAACCATTGTCGTTATCATTAACATCCTTGTTTTTCATAACTGTGCTGTGTAGCCCACATTCGTATGACATTCACAGTTTTAACCCACTCTTACACAGCAGGCTGCTTTGCTGCAGAACTCAAAGGTACAACAGCAGCGCTCTCCAGCCTACATGTCCAGAGATTACCCTGCCTGTGGCTGCTGCGGTCAGCGCAGGATTACAGGTTCTGAGCCACTCAAAGGGTTTGTTTTGCCAGTAATGCGACTTCATTCATCAGTCATGTGTCTCTGCAAGCTAGAAAGAGGCATCCAGTCACAACTTGATTTAAGCAAAATCTAAATTTCAATTTGGATTAAAATAAAGTGAAAATTCCTTTTTTTTTCTTCTTATCAGTCTGGTTAATATATGTGATGAACAAGAACACTTGTCACCTGCTCTCTGTCTGTAAAAAGGCTCCATTCATGCTATTAGAGTAATTATAAAACCAGCAATAGCCACTTCCAAGCAAGGAAATGGGCACTGAAATACTGGGAGAGACAGCGATTACTGCGACAAAGACACAAGCAGTAACACTAAATAATTAAGGGAGCAGATATCAGCTTCCAATGCAGATCAGAGGTACCAGATCCCAGGAAGCTGGGCTGGGAAGCACAGCGCCTCCCAGGGACCAGCCACCGCTGAGGGAGCTGCTGGAGCACACCGGACCCGGGTTCAAGGACTGCAGCACCCCAGAAGCTGGCCTCCTCAGAGCTGTGTGACAGCACAGAGACATGTGGTCTGCAGGCGCCTTCCACGTCGTCATCAGGTGCCCTCGCAGGAGACTCCAGTTTGTGGGATCCCCGAGTAATCGTGCGGGATCCCCATGTAATCGTGCGGGACCCCCGCGTAATCGTGCGGGATCCCCATGTAATCGTGCGGGACCCCCGCGTAATCGTGCGGGATCCCCATGT